CTTCTCTATTCCGTCCATATCTCTTATGGATGTCCACTGACATTCTATCAAAATCCTCCTCTAAATTGTGCCCTTCAAATTCACCATTATCCTCAACTCCCCTTCGATGCATCATGTTCCTCCTTGGAGCATTCAGAGCAAATGGTGGTTGATCCTGTTGTGTTCCTTCTTCTACCCTATCCAACCTCTCATGTATGTGTTCGAGCTCCACCCTCATCATCCGTCTCATCTCTCCCATTAATGCCTGCATTTGTGGATTCAGATGAACAGTAGGTGCAGTCTCTTCGCTTGTGTTTTTCTCCTGATTTTGTGACATGATTAAAATGTGTTTCACTCAGAAAATAACTCACTCAAACCACTCATGTTTCACTCAAATCCACTCGTGTTCCACTCAAATCCACTCGTGTTTCACTCAAGTTATTCAGCTTTTACCCTCTAATATGCTCACACACTCTGCCTTTTTCCACTCGTATTCTTCTTCTAGTTCTTTCAAAACTAATCCAACAAAAAGAAGGATTCAAGTAGCCAATCGAGTCAAGACTCAAACCAAATGAATTCAAATTTTGTCACGGATTTTTTTTGACACTCAAGTTTTGAGGGTTCCGAAACTAATGAAAATAAGCAAATTTTGGCCTGAAAAAAAGGATCAGTGGGCTATACCCAGCTAAGGACCATAGAGCTCAAAAAGAGCTTCGATTTGATATATTGCAAGCCCCGTAATGATTCCTAGATCAAAAGTTATAGCTGTTCTCGTGATTTTCCTTCTTTTCCTAACTTTTTTTTTTTTTTTTTTTTTTTTTTTTTTTTTTTTTTTTTTTTTGTAATTGGTTTTGTAAAACCTAGTGGAATTCGAAATCAAGCAATAGTAATTGGACTAAAACTTAAAACAAATAGGGAGTTAACAATCAAATTTTTTTTTTCGAATTGGAAACCCTAATGGGATTAATGCCTGACTTTTGACGAAAAAAAAAAAGAAAACGCAATAAACAAGAAAAGGATAGGAAAACCTAATGATCCTAAGCTCTGATACCAACTGATACAAACCACGCCAATAATGTGACAAAATCCGAAACCAAATCTGGAATACGACTCAAGATCTTTCAAGATTGATGGAAACCGTGACCTGTTGCTTAGCAAAGCAAGAACCTTGGTATGGTGAAGACGCCAAAAATGAGTATGGAGATTCCGTTTGATAAGTCAAGTTGAATGCCACAAGGAAACCTTGATAAGTTCAGAAAATTTTCTTCAAGAACTCAAGACGAATATCTCACAACATGAATAAACATCAAAACTGTTTTGCATTATCTAAAATTCAGCCTTAAATAGCCGAACTTTACATGAAGAGTTTTTAATTGTAAAAATCCTAATCTACCCTTAATGAGGTAGACACGCTTAAAAACAAGATAAACACGCCTAAAGATAATCCTAGGAAGGAATCCGACTTTGACTCAAAATCCCTCCTTCTAAACACGCCTAAAGATAATCCTAGGAAGGATCCGCAATCTTGACTTGATCTCTTGCTGGAAAACACGCCTACATCCTCTTGGACTTCCCCTTGCACGTGTATCCTGGAATGACATGCAAGTTGGCCATGCAATGACTTAATGGACGTGTATGACTAATTGACTCTCTTCTGGTTTGACTTTGATGAGTAAAACCAGCCTTTGTTCACCCTCAGTAGTGAACACTCTCTCTTCTTGTTGTAGAACTCTCCGGACTAGGTTATTAAACTCTTCTTTAAATCTTTTAGCTCGATACCTCATCACCGGTCCAACTGGGACTTGAATTAGATCATGAGTATTCCTTGCATCTCTGATGTCCTCATCACAAAGGATCCACATGCCGGTGAAGCAATTCCAAAGGTTAGGCACCAGCTGTGTGGGGGAGATGCCGTGGACCTCGCAAAGGTCCTTCACAAACGGGTGAATGGGAAGGATCATCCCTACTGTGAAGGCCCGGGTATAGGCAGATAGATACCCCGGGGGTGGAAGGCTCACCCTAAAGTTGGGGTCTGGGAGGAGGTACTCAAACCATTGTCCGTCCACGTGCCCCTCTTTTTATGCACGGACGAAGGAGTCTTTCACGCCGTGAAGTCTGCTGTGAAGGACGGCCGCTCAGCATCTGCCTCCATTGATGCCACGGGGACACCAAAGTGTCACCCGCTATAGCCGGAGATCCCTCCACCGACCAAAGAATTGGAGGGGGCACTTGACGTAGAAGCCTCCTCCTCCTCCTCCTATTCTAGCTCACCGTCGACCAAGTAGTCGACGCTGTCGTCATTGTCTCGAGGGTCAGGGATGTAGTCTTCGATCTCCCTCAGTACTGGGTCACTGTTGGTGGAGAGGGAAGAAGATTCGGCGGCTGGAGAAGGGTCCGGCCTCACGAGTGGCGCGGACGACAACCTCTCTCGACAGCTAACTCTTTTGGGTGCCATGACTGTAAGAAAAAATCTAAAGTCAATATCCTATAAGTTGAGATGGGAGGAGAAATAAGTTTGGTGCCTAAGTTACCTAACATGCTTAGTCAAATAAAGTTAGACTGAGAACAGCGAGCATTCAAGTAAAGCGTTAGAACTAGACGACGATTATTCATGCAAAACGCCGACCATTCGAACAAACTCAGAAAGCCAAACAAAAACCCAGGCCTGAAAACTCAACAGACTCAACCAAAACTCCTACAACTAGTTCAGAACAGTGCGAAAAACACTAAAATAAGGTCCTACCATCCATATTACACTATTCCTAACCATTACCTCTACGAAAACCATCGCAGGCAGGAGCAAACACAGAGAAAATAGAAAAGGAAAGTAAATATTCACTACACTGCAACGGCAAAGCGGGGAAAGGAGATGAAGGAGGGAAATTTACAAGGAATCAAGCAATGGAGAAGATACAAAAACTTGAAGTGAATTCCACCTGAAAATCACGAATGTGCAGATGAAGAACGTAGGGAATGGCCTGGGAAAATTTTGGCAACGTCTCGGCTTACTTTCAGAGGCGATTGGAATGATCAAAGTGTACTCAATAGACTATTTATATAGGTGTTAAACCCTCAACTCTCAACCGTCAGATGGAATAACCGTGCATCTAACGGTGAAGGCGAAGAAAGGTGATCCAACGGTAATTAAAAGAGTGGGAAACTGAAAGGGCGCGATCCAACGACCCAGATTTGTCTGTTTAAATGAGAGCCCACGTTAGTGTGGCGACTAAATCGATGTGACGTTTACACTGCCTGAAGAACCCCTTGATCATCAGAACCATCATTGCAATTGAGGTTTGGAGCTAGGTTCCTACACCTAAAGCAAGCGAAGAGGCCAGAGGGAGTCCCAAAGGAAAGTCTCGACCTGGGGGGCAGCTGTTGTGAGGGAAAATCTACCTTGTCATGTCGGACAACAACCGAGCTCCACGTGGCCATCATCATGCCACGTCAGCCAGGGGATGAGCAGTGACGGTTGAAGGGTCAGCTTTCAAAGATGCGTGTCATACCAATGAGAGAAAGGTCGACTGTACTCACACGAAATTTTAGAATAATTCTTGAAGAAACACTCAACAGCAGCAAGATTATAACCAGCAACGTCCAAGTCGACTGATCAAACAGTCAAGACGGAGATGGATCCCAAGCCCCTATAAACCAACAACACTGTGGAAGGACCGGCAGAGGCGAGGGTACCGTTGTGACCCACCGTGGAGGCCCAGTGGGGATGTAGAGGGTAGGACGTTCAGTCTTGTGACCCAGATCTCGAGAGTATCCCTTGAGGGGACATGAGGGAAATCCCTAGATTACTTGTGAGCTTAGACAAAGTCAGTAGCAGACAAAATGATTACCAGCGTATTAACCGCCTAAAACGGACCAATGGAAATCACGGGAGATCCACAGAGCCGCAATAGTGTACAAAGTAGGTAGATGAACAGTCCAAAATGTACTGAAAAGCTAAAGTTTAGGTGAGTAGGATAATAGGCTACTCGAGAGAAACTGTCAGATAACCATTTGTCTCGGTTTCTCCTAATGTGTACTCTGTGAGATATAAAAGGGGTAAGGCCCTAGAGAGAAAGGATGATGAAAAACTGAGAGAACAAAGCCTCTGTAATCAAAGGAGAAAGAAGAATAGTGAAAATTTCCCAAAAGTGGATGTAGCTCTTTCATTGAGAGTGAACCACTATAATTTCTAATGTTCTTTTTATTTATTTGCATTCTCATTCATATTCAGAGCACTCTTAGGATCCACACACGATCAATTGCATTTTTTTAGTTATTATCGTGTTCTAACCGGTAACCTGTTTGATTACAGGATGGTAATCCAACGTATTTCTATTGACAAGATTTCATCATCAACAGTTCACATATTCATATTAGTGCTTTTTTCCTTGCAGTGTTTCATCTTTGATGACAACTACAGCTGTTGTGGTGGAACTTCCAAAGGACGTTAGGGAGGTTCCAGCAATGGGTGGCATTGATTTTTGAGAATCGTTCCCACCACGATATTTGTTTGTTTTTTTTGTTTTGTTTTGTTTTTGTTTTTTTCCTAATATGTATCTCTGAACCATTCTTCTTAAAATAGACAGTTTTCTTCCCCATGTAACAATTGAATGAAAATTTTGTTTAAACTTATTCCGTTTGTTTTCTGTGTTTTTATTTTTTGTTTTTTTCCCCATGAATAGTTGTGACGGCTATTTCTCTCCTGCGTCATAAACTGGAAAGTTCTAATTTAGGCCTGCGAATGATTGTTCATTGTGAGTGTTTAAGTGAAGATGAGAGATCGAGGCAAAATGTGTGTTTTTTCTTTTCATTTTTTTCCCTGAAGATGCGTTAAGAAGGTTAGTTCAAGGGTAACGATACTCTGACTAATCCCCGTTTTGAAAAAATAAAAATAAAATAAAAATAAAATAAAAAGTGAGATGTAGCACCGTAGATCCCGTCTTCAGTTGGAGTTGGAATGTGGGGCCGAGCAATGTTTGGGATTTTCAGCGAGACGAGAATATTAAGGAAAAGTAATAGAGGGACTAAGCATACTTCTTTAAATTTTAAATAAAAAAATTCGTTACAAATCTAGGTAGCTGAACTACAGAAGCAGCTTTATCAAAGATACATCAACTGCAATTTACGGGCGAAAAGCACAAGAGAGAACACCATTTTGACAATGAAGCAAATTTTTAGAACAAGAAACACAAAAAAGTTGTTCGTATGCATACACTGCCAATTGCACCTTAGGCTCTGAAAGGAGTCTGCATCATCTCCCTTTCCGACGGTTTTTTACCCCAGCACAGTCTGAACAATACCATTTTCCTTTGGGTTGTTCTTTCAAACCAACACAGCCAAAATGGAACCACTCTATCTTGCACTGTCAAAAGCGAACGAGTTTCATCAGATCTTGAATTGAGCATATGAATATATAAAAGATGTTACACGCATGAGGAAAAGTTTACATACATCTGGGTTGTCGCAAGCAACCATCTCCCCGTAGCTAACTTGATTACAGAAACAGTATGTTGGTTCGTTTGGATCCACCGGTATATCAAGATCCATACCAGTGGGATTGGCTGGTGGTGAAGTCGCTTCTGTTGCA